GTGAAATCAGAATAATCAATTTCAGTCCAGGAGAGGAGCCGATACAGCTGTGCAAAACTGAATGTAAACCCAGAGTTCCACTTTAAAGGTGCCCATAGAAGTTGTCCATGCTGGATCACCCTGTAGCCCCATTGGTCCACCAGCTGAGCTTCCACATAAACATGAATGCTCGGTGACTGGGCAGCATTAGGAGAACACAGCACTATAGATCTACATTCTCTTTTTATTAGTCCCTGGACATTTGTTTTACTCGCCACCTTGGCGGCATTACCTGCTTCGCTGTAACAGCAGTCACACTTAATTAGCTAATTCATCTCATTATCTAAGTAACTGAAATTGCTACCAGCAAACTAACGTAATGAGGCTTAGCCGGTATTGGGTGATTTAACTGTTCACAAGGCAGCTTGATTTTGCTGTCATTCGAACTAAAGGAACATTTACAAATTATTTGAAAGATGTGCAATTCACCTTTTTTATATTTTTTTTCTATCTTTCCCCAGAGATATAATATAAACAAGTATTAACTGAGCTTCAACTGTCAACTGTCAACTGCCAACTAAGCGTGTCTGGGATGACCTGAACAACTCCTCTATAGAAGGGCACTCTGCGCTCCTTACGAATGAACTCTTCGGCGGTTGTCGGTTCATACCACAGATGGAGCCATAAGTCCAAGTCGTCAGCACTAATAATTTACTGCTTACTGAATTTATTGAAGGGGAATACACTGAGATTTTGACATCTGGAGAAAAGACTCACTACAGACCCGAAATTTGCTTTTGTGATCCAATATGGTGAATTTTGTATGAGCATCTTAAACTTTTTTGGTATTTTTAAAGGCTTTTGTATGAGAGTCCAAACAAATACCAGATCTGGTTACTATGTGGTGCACAAGCCTCATAACGTAAGCAAAAGCTTTCATCATTTTGTGTCTCACACGCTCCCCCTCCAAGACACTGCAGCTCCCAGTGGGAAAGATTCAGCAACAAAGTCAGTGCTACCAATCCAGAAAGCATCGCCCACATGGAAGAAAAATATACTTGAAATATATTTTTAAAAATATTCTTCCCAAATATATTGACATATATTTGAAATACTACAATTTTTGCTGTATTCAATATATTTAAAAATATATTTCAATACACGCATATATATATATATATATATATATATATATATATATATATATATAAATAAACTGTATGTTGAAATTTGTTTTTATTACAAAATTTGTGAAAATATTTTTAAAAAATAAATTTTCAAACATACTGTATGTCTTTAAATATACATTTAATCTAAATTTTTGGAATGCATTTACAAATATATTTAAAAATATATGCTAAAATGACTTTTTTATATGTTAAAAAAATCTGAAGGTCCCTCCATGGATATGCCTCCCCGGACCCTCACTGACCCACCACCAAAACGGTCATGGTGAACGATGTTACAGGCAGCATAATGTTCTCCACGGCTTCTCCAGACCCTTTCACATCTGTCACATGTGCTCAGGGTGAACCTGCTCTCATCTGTGAAAAGCACAGGGCGCCAGTGGTGGACCTGCCAATTCTGGTGTTTTATGGCAAATGCCAATCGAGCTCTATGGTGCCGGGCAGTGACCACAGGGCCTACTAGAGGACGTCAGGCCTTCCGGCCACCCTTTTGAAGTCTGATTCTGATTGTTTGGTCAGAGACATTTACACCAGTGGCCTGCTGGAGTTCATTTTGTAGGGCTCTGGCAGTGCTCCTCCTGTTCCTCCTTGCACAAAGGAGCAGATACCGGTCCTGCTGATGGGTTAAGGACCTTCTACAGCTCTGTTCAGCTCTCCTAGAGTAACTGCCTGTCTCCTGGAATCTCCTCCATGCTCTTGAGACTGTGCTGGGAGATATAGCAAACCTTGTGGCAATGGCACGTATCGATGTGCCATCCTGGAGGAGTTGGACAGCCTGTGCAACCTCTGTAGGGTCCAGGTATGGCCTCATGCTACCAGTAGTGACACTGACCCTAGCCAAATGCAAAACTAGTGAAAAACAGTCAGAAAAGAGGAGTAGGGAAAAAATGTCAGTAGCCTCCACCTGTAAACCAGTCTTGTTTTGGGGGTCGTCTCATTGTTGTCCATCTAGTGCGGGTGTCTGCAACCCGCGTCTCCAGAGCCGCATGCGGCTCTTTTTCACCTTTGCTGCGGCTCCGGAGCACACTGCCCACCAGGTGACAGGCAATAGGGTTGCCGTAGCTCAGTGGTCGGCAAGCCGCGGCTCTTCTGTGTGCCGGGCGCCCGCTCCCCTCCCTCCTCTCGGGCGGCCGCCCCAAAAGTCAGGACTCTGCAGCTAGCCCAGCAATGGGCAAACTACGGCCTGCCGGACCTTTTAATCCGGCCCGCGGAGCGTGGCAAACATTGGCTGTCAGGATGTAGGCGGGGCAGCGTGACGAACTCCTCTCCTCTCACAGTCCGCCCTGAAGACCGGAACGGCGCGGGAACACGGCGAGAGGAACGCGCGGAGCAAAGGTAAGTGAATTGACACAATATGGGGAATGAATTACTATATGGGGGATGAATTACTATAGGGGGGATGAATTACTATAGGGGGGATGAATTACTATATGGGGGATGAATTACTATGGGGGATGAATTACTATATGGGGGATGAATTACTATGGGGGATGAATTACTATATGGGGGATGAATTACTATATGGGGGATGAATTACTATATGGGGGATGAATTACTTTGGGGGATGAATTACTATGTTGGGGATGAATTACTATGTTGGGGATGAATTACTATGTGGGGGATGAATTACTATGTGGGGGATGAATTACTATGTGGGGGATGAATTACTATGGGGGATGAATTACTATATGGGGGATGAATTACTATATGGGGGATGAATTACTATATGGGGGATGTATTTTCAGTTTTAAAAATGTGGCTCTCAAAATAAATTTCAATCGTGGTTTTGGCGAGATTTGGCTCAGTTGAAAAAAAAGGTTGCCCACCACTGACCTAAGGCTATGACTGTGATTATGACGATACACTGTGGCCCTGATTAACCCTTTGCTTACTGGGCCCTTAAACCCCCTTCATGACCAGAGCGCTTTTTGCAATATATGCAGTGTCGGATTTGTTTTAAATGTTGCAATGGTTTTGCGGCTCCCAGTCTTTTTTTCCCTCTCGGAAACGGGTCCAAGTGGCTCTTTATGTCTTAAAGGTTGCAGACCCCTGATCTAGTGTAACAACCCCCTCTGCTACTTAACTGACCAGATCAATATCTGAGGAGTTTAATGGACTTCATGCTATACTCTGGTTAAAAGGGGTTACTTTACTTTTTTTGAGCAGTGTATATTAGTAGATATTTGCACCTATTAACCTACCACATCTGTGATTTGCACTTCTGGGTTTCGCAATCCCGCCCGGCCGTCATTGTACAATAGGCCACTCAGCTCCCAAGTGCTGTTGTGGACAGACATCACTGAATTTATGTGGGCTAAGTCAGGGGCGGACTGACAACTCATGGGGCCGCTGGGCAATAGAGGATCATGGGCCCCTGTGTCCTTGTCCAAACTCAAAAAAGTCTATGAAAAAGGTACCAGGGGCATCTCATGGGGCCCCCTACTGACCCCGGGCCCTCGGGCAGTGCCGAGTTTCCAAATGGTCAGTCCACCCCTGGGCTAAGTGGTGTCAGCCCTACCCCTTGTGTTTTGCTAAACTACTCAGCCACCCCCACTTTCAGATCTCTACAAACTAAGGCAGGCCATAGACGGGCCGTTTATCGGCCGAATTGTCGGCCGATAAACGAAGAATCGGTCGGCCCCGTTGCCGATGCTGCCACCAATGTCCACAAAAAACGTCCATTTTTCGTGGATTTTCCAGCATGACCGATAAAAATAAATGAGGAGATCCTCAAAAAAAAACGGCCGACGGGCTGACCCCACTAACGGCGTGATTATCGGCCGATTTTTCGTGTGGATGAAAATTCGGCTGATAAACCCGTCTATGGCCTGCATAAAGGTTAAATATTCCGCAGTCCAGAATAAGCACTGGGAGAGCTCTTTGAAATGACACAAACAAATATACAGAGGACACAGGCAGCTCTGGCTTTCTGGCAGGATCACCAGAATTGGTTGCGTGTATAAACAGATAAAACAAAATGTTTTTCAATATTATATATTTTACAGAACAAAAGGGAGCAAGTAAGAGAAGTTCATTGTTAAGGTTTACATACACTTTAAGGCTAGGGGCACTCAGGCAATTTTAATTAGCACACTCCTACTAAAATAACAAATGATTAATCGCTAGGAGTAGTAATCAATCTCTACACATATGGAACAAATGGCTTCCTATGGAGTAAGGCACACAAGTAGCCTGTAGAAGTGATTAATCGCACAGATTTGGAGCATTATGCAATCATTAGTGATTCATTACTACTACATGCTATTAGTGTACGTCCATAGGAGATAATTGTTCCACTACACTAAGTAATTGATCCTTAGAGATTTTAATAGTAAGGGCATGCAAATAAGGGCTCGTTCAAACGTTCAGTCAGGGGGTGGTAAAAGGAGGGCGGTTTAGCTGAAGTTTTTTCAACCAGGGGCAGACTGACAACTTATGGGGCCTCTGGGCAATAGGGGATCATGGGGCCCCTGTGTCCTTGCCCAAACTCAAAAAAGCCTATGAAAAAGGTACCAGGGACATCACATGGGGTTCCCTACTGACCCCGGGCCCTCAGGCAGTTCCCGAGTTTCCAAATGATCAGTCCGCCCCCCTGCACTCAACTATCCAGGAGAACAAGGACACGTAGCCACTCAGGGCTGTACACATGCTGCGGCCATGGCAAAAATTAAACCCTCTGTTGCTTTCAGTAGGCAGTACTGCAACCCATTCATAATAAAACCCATAATAAACCCAACCCATAAATGCAACCCATTCAAGTTATTCGGTCTTGTTTACTTGGCCTTGGTGGGCTTGCGGCTCTTGATCTTCTTGGCCAGCAGCATGGTCTGGATGTTAGGCAGGACTTCTCCCGTGGTGATGGGACAGGTGCATGAGGTGTCGGGGCATGATGCAGGTCTTCTTATTGTCAAGGGCAGGGTTGCTGGCCAGCTCAAGGATCTCAGCTGTCAGAAACATGAGGACGGTGGCCAGATAGACATGGACTGGACCCATGCCGCATAGTCCACAACTTTCTGGGAACTGCAGACCAGCCCTGGAAGATCGGGTCTTGGCCTTAGCACAAGCCTTGCTGCCTTGTTCATGGAGTCCAAACATGATTAAACTGCTGGATCGCAATGGGGTCTTGATGAGAACGCCCTTTGAGCAGTGGTTCAGCTTTTTGAAGGTTCAAAACAGGCAGAGAAGAGGCGACATATTGCCTCCCCAACTCCTTTCAAAAACCCTCTGAAAATGATCCACCACAGATCGCTTTTCAAAAGGGTGATAAGGGATACCACACATATAAAGGAGCTACCTGTGTGCTTGTAGCCTAAGAAGAAAGGTTCCTGCTGCACACATGTTTAAATTGCTGATTGATAGCACTATACAAAGTAGTACAATCCTGATTGGCTTTTAGTGCTTCCCCTCCCTCTTCCAGATCTGCTGTGCAAAGGATTACAGGAAGCAAACATAAAGACAGGTTCAAGTGCTTCTGCTAGCTCTTTACAAGAATACATTTATAGCTAAACCCCTGAAACCTTTGTCCTTGATTTTTTTGCCTCCCCTCTGATAAGCAATCCACCACAGTTGAGAGACAGCTGGGAGGAAGTATGTCTTTGAAAGAATGCAGCATCGAGCTGCAACTGCATGTAAAGTGGTTGCGGCTTAGCTCTATTCAATCGAAGTGGCTGCATGTGACAGTAGGATTGCTGGCCGTATGCAACATGTGGTATCATTTTTGCCATGGATTCGACTTGTATACCACCCCTTCTGGCCTTCGTGTTAACATGGTTGTAAACCATTATATATACACAGAGATGTGACTGGTCTCAGGTGATACACAGAGATGAAGCAAATCCTCCTCCTGTTTATCTGCAGTCTTCTCTTCTCTACGTCCATTCAAAAATGTTGAATCTGTAAAGCTTGTCTGAGAGTTCAGAAAAAAAGGGGGTGGAGAGCTGGAATTACACACTGCAGAGCTCAGTGAGGAGAGTTCTGAGAGCTGATTGGAGGGAAGAGACACACCCCCAACTTCATACTTCTCACAGGAACAGAGCTGAGGGTGTCAATCACAGGCTATGCTCTCCCCTGTCACCTTTTTTTCTCTTGGTGTCAGGAAAACTTATCAGAAGCAACTCATGCTGATATCAGAGGAATGAAGCAGCAGACAGAAATGACACAGTACCCTTAATTGCCCTTAATTACACACTATAGAACAGGGGTGTCAAACTCAATTTGTTCACGGGCTGCATCAGCATTAGGTTGCTTTCAAAGGGCCGGTTGTATTTATAAGACTATGTATGCAGAGTTCAGGAGTACTGCTACATACAGAGTGCAGGGCTTAGGGGTGTGGTACATACAGAGGGCAGAGTTCAGGAGTATGTACTGTGCAAAATTCAGAAGTGTGCTGTATACAGAGTGCAGGGCTAGGGGTGCGCTACATACAGAAGGCAGAGTTCAGGAGTATGTACTGTGCAAAGTTCAGAAGTGTGCTGTATACAGAGTGCAGGGGCGTAGGGGTGCGCTACATACAGAGGGCAGAGTTCAGGAGTATGTACTGTGCAAAGTTCAGAAGTGTGCTGTATACAGAGTGCAGGGCGTAGGGGTGTGCTACATACAGAAGGCAGAGTTCAGGAGTATGTACTGTGCAAAGTTCAGAAGTGCGCTGTATACAGAGTGCAGGGCTTAGGGGTATGTACTGTGCAAAGTTCAGAAGTGTGCTGTATACAGAGCGCAGGGCTTATGGGTGCACTACATACAGAGGGCAGAATTCAGGAGTATGTACTGTGCAAAGTTCAGAAGTGTGCTGTATACAGAGTGCAGGGCTTAGGGGTGCGCTACATACAGAAGGCAGAGTTCAGGAGTATGTACTGTGCAAAGTTCAGAAGTGTGCTGTATACAGAGTGCAGGGCTTAGGGGTGTGCTACATACAGATGCAGAGTTCAGGAGTATGTACTGTGCAAAGTTCAGAAGTGTGCTGTATACAGAGTGCAGGGCTTATGGGTGCACTACATACAGAGGGCAGAGTTCAGGAGTATGTACTGTGCAAAGTTCAGAAGTGTGCTGTATACAGAGTGCAGGGCTTAGGGGTGTGCTACATAGAGAAGGCAGAGTTCAGGAGTATGTACTGTGCAAAGTTCAGAAGTGTGCTGTATACAGAGTGCAGGGCTTAGGGGTGTGCTATGTACAGAGTGTAGGGTTCAGCTCTCTTTCAAGGGCTTTCCACATCACTTTTCCACCTCTCTTTCTTAGCTTTGACCTCTGCACCACTTTCTGGCTAAAAAAGCTCTGGGTATGAGGGCCACATGAAATAGCCCGGCGAGCCGGATTTAGCCCCCGGCCTTGTGTTTGACACATGTGCTATAGAAGGATATGATTTGTTCATATTTCATATTTGAGGTTTACAACCACTTTAAGGTAAGATGGAAGAAAAAGCCTAACTGTAACTTTTCTTAAAAATGTCCCCTTCTTCACTCCTTCTACCTATCTTGCCTATCCTGTATGGAAAAGATCTGCGTACTCACCTATTTTTAATCAGCTCTGATCCAGTCACGTGATCCTGCAGCTCCAGCTCTCCTGTCAATGAGCAGTTGCTGCAGGAAAGGGAAAGGAAAGCCAACAAGGGCTGGATCATGGGAGCCTATAGGTGACATCATGGCTTCTGAAGTTCACAGCTGTTGATGAACCTTCCCTTACACAGAGCTGTGGGATCACGTGTCCTTTTTTTTTATATAGTCTAGGCAGGATAGGTAGGAGGGGAGAGGGAACATTTTAACATTTATAGTTAGGCTTTTCTTCCACTTTAAGGTGGGTGGTCAAGGGCAGGGGTGTATTTACAACACGGCAAACAAGGCATTTGCATAGGGCGGCATTTTTTAGGGGGCATCACTGCCCCCTGGAAAAAGGGACATATGCAGTATGGGGACCAGGTGGGATCTGAGATAGGCTGGGGCTGCTTGATGGTGTATGCAGAGCCCGACCGGGGATGTCTGGAGCTGTAAAGGTGAGTGTCTTTCTATCTGTTGCCCGGGGGGGGGGGGGGGGATGATGGGGCAGGGGGGTGTTGTTGGTCACTGTCAGGCTCTCTCCGATGAGGGGGAGGGGGTCTAGTGTTGGTCGTTATCAGGCTCTCTATGCTGGGGAGGAAGGGCGTTTGATTTTTGTGTTGCCTAGGGCAGCACAAAACCTAAATACACCACTGGTCAGGGGGCTGTAATACTGTGGCTCAACCACCTATTGTCTCCATGCCCCCACCGGCCAAAATTATAAGTGAAGCCATAAGCTTCCACATATTACATTTCTGTGCTTGGGTTTAGACACATTTTAACAATGTTTTATTGAATACTTCATGAAATGGTGCTGTTTTTTATATACATCTGCCTGGAGTTCAGCTTTAAGTCTCTAATTCGGCGTTATATAAAACCAGCGCGTGCCCCAGAGACTCCCAGCCCCGCCATAACTGCGCCGGCTCTAGAAAATACATCCCAATCAAAGCTGAAGTATTCCAGCTTCCTGCAGTCTTGCTGTCTATCAAGGCAGCGGCGCACTGAATTAACCTCCTAAACAAAAGCTCTTTTTTTCTCTTTTTCTTTTCACCCGCAGAAGGACGGAGGCGAAATAAGAGAATGTGTCTGACACGCACGCCGGTAGCCTGTCTGGTTGCCACAGAGACAACAAATACTATTGCAGTACCTGCTCTGATTCTTCAAGAGCTCCCCAGCTAACTCTGATGCTTATCCTTCTAAGTGCTGATCCGTCTACTTAGCATGCTCAATAGGCATTATGCCTGGCCGCGCTCTTCTGTCTGACAAGTGGCTGGGTAACAAGCGCTATTGAACAGCTAGAGGAGCTCAGCTTTTCGATTTTTGGGCACTTGCCTTGCCGTGGAGTTGCATTTGATGGACATTTTATACCAGCAAATTGCCCATCGCCGCCGTGCCGTACTGGTAGAAAGATTGAGTTTGTCGGAGCATGGCGTGTGCCAGGAATTCAATGGCAATCATTGTTATATAACAGATGGTACTCTGAATTAAAGGGTACGTTCGCCTTTTCACAAAAGATGTAAAGGTGAACTAACTCCAAATATCCTTGCCAACCCTCTGGACCTCACTGCACTGAGCGACTGTAATGCCCCGTGCTGCCAATGTAGTGGTCTGTATACCACAATACTCAACCATGGAGTGAATATCCATCATAAAGTTAGCAATGGCAAGCAATCTTTGGTCAGCACACTAACCATTGGGAAGTCTTCTTTCTTCTAGGACAGGGGTCTGCAACCTGTAAGACATAAAGAGCCACTTGGACCCGTTTCCGAGAGGGAAAAAAAGACTGGGAGCCGCAAAACCATTGCAACATTTAAAACACATCCGACACTGCATATATTGCAAAAAGCGCTCTGGTCATGAAGGGGGTTTAAGGGCCCAGTAAGCAAAGGGTTAATCAGGGCCACAGTGTATAGTCATAATCACAATCATAGCCTTCGGTCAGTGGTGGGCAACCTTTTTTTTCAACTGATCCAAATCTCGCCAAAACCACGATTGAAATTAATAGTAATTCATCCCCCATATAGTAATTCATCCCCCATAGTAATTCATCCCCCATATAGTAATTCATCCCCCATAGTAATTCATCCCCCATATAGTAATTCATCCCCCATAGTAATTCATCCCCCATATAGTAATTCATCCCCCATAGTAATTCATCCCCCATAGTAATTCATCCCCCATAGTATTTCATCCCCCATAGTATTTCATCCCCCATATAGTAATTCATCCCCCATAGTATTTCATCCCCCATATAGTAATTCATCCCCCATAGTAATTCATCCCCCATAGTAATTCATCCCCCATATAGTAATTCGTCCCCCATATAGTAATTCATCCCCCATAGTAATTCATCCCCCATATATTAATTCATCCCCCATATAGTAATTCATCCCCCATAGTAATTCATCCCCCATAGTAATTCATCCCCCATATAGTAATTCATCCCCCATATAGTAATTCATCCCCCATATTAATTCATCCCCCATATTAAGTCCCCAAGTCCCCCCTGTGTCAATTCACTTACCTTTGCTCCGCGCGTTCCTCTCGCCGTGTTCCCGCGCCGTTCCGGTG